AGGACCAGGCCCGCCGCCACCCAGCCCGCGTCCCGGGCGCCACCCATGCTGCTGCCAGGCAGGGCGCGGCGGGGACGCCGCGGGAGGCTGGAGGGATCGACGCTGAAGACTCCCGCACGCGAAGGACCAGCCGAGGCAGAATGGAGACCTCACCTAGAGAAAGGAAAGGAGGGGCTGAACTCCAGTCCACGGAAGCCGCCCGGCTCAGATCCTGAGCCCTCCCACTCTTCCCGCCCAGTCCCAGCAGCTTCCTCCAGGGGCGCTGGTTCGGCGGGAAGCTCAGACTGCGCCGTCGCAGGAGGCTCGCCCCGCCCACGGCCCCGCCCCTCACCGCGGAATGCAGTGCAGGTAGTCTCTCCCTCCCGCCCCCAAACACACACGGTTGCCAGGCAACGCCCGGAAGCGGGCGGTCTTCTCGAGGCCGTGCGACTGCTGTCCAGAGGCAAAGTGCAGATGCTCAGTCCGGCCTCTGGCCATGGCTTCGCTACGCACTGCCACCCCCAGGCTCAGGAACTACTTTAAGGACAACTACATTCCTCAGGTCTGCGAGGTACTGGAGTCTCGTGGGTCGAGGGTGGGGAGTGGAAGGGACGGGAGACCGAGAAGGAGAGGAGGGAGGGAAGAGCTCGAGGAAAGGCGGATTCAGATTTGGGTCCCGCGGCGAGTGTGGGTCGAGGATACAGAGCATCACAGACCCAGGAGTGATGGTGGCTGAAGCGGAAGGTCGAGGGTGATAGACCCAGGGGCAGAGCTGCTAGGAACTGTGCCCATTCCTTGCTCATGTAACTGTAACCCCTCTGTACAGCATCTTTACAATTAAAAATGTTAAGAGTACATGTAGGCCAACTTGGAAGGTTTGGACAAGCGGAGGAAGTGCCCGAGTGACAGAGAGGAGAAGGAGGAGAGGGGGTTAGCCAGTACTTCAGGGCTGCCATCTTTTCAGAAGGCTGAAAGCAGATGGGTAGGATTTGAGGTCAGCCCTGGCAGGAAAGTTTGAGAAACTGAACTAGTAAGAAATAAGGTTCCCACGCGTTGAAGCCACAGCCTACCAAGTAGTACCTACGAAACTCAGCCCTGAGTTTAAACCCTGGTATCACACACATACACACCCCAAGTCTTAAGCAGGTGGAGATGGACCCTGATTACCTCAGATAAGGATCTGAAGGGTTTCTGTGAGAAAGAAACATCACAATCAGCATTGCCTTTGAATAAGAGGAGTCTCCAGGTTAAACAAGAGGAGGACAATATGCAGGTGAATTGTAGACCTTGTAGGTTTGGGTGTAGAAAGCAGAGAAGTTTGTGGAAAATAGTTTGAGAAGAACTTGCTAGGTCTGCTCTGGGTTACTTCATGCACAGAACCGCACATTTAGGTCATTCATAGCCTTGATCACCTTCATTTTATAAAGCAATGGGTTTGACACTACCCACTTCAAAGTGACACTGGAAATAGCCTGATACCCAGACATGCTTTTGACAGCTCTGTGCCTTGAATAACTACACTTGGAGTTTGTGCAAGTTCCTAGCTCCTACAGAGATCTTTTTCCTTCCATCTCTATCAGCTCTCTCTGTTTGGGCCTTTAACTCTAAGCATTACCTTAGTGTATTTTATAAAACATAATATGAGTCAAATGTGTAATTAAATTTGGAACAAAAAGAACCTGTTTGGCCAATGGCCTATCAAGTGACATTAGTAGTAATTGGTGAGTGCATGTCAGTGAAATTTATGCAGCTTGTGAATATGGTGTAGTGCAGTAAATTCTGGCACTATGGAAAGAAATCAGTGTTTCTGTCTTTCTATGTTTCTGACACAAGTCACTCACACATGGTGTGTGTGTGTGTGTGTGTGTGTGTGTGTGTGTGTAGTGAAGCTAAGGATACAGAAAGTGAGGGAGAGAGCACACAGATCTGTGCACAGAAAGAGGAGAGCCAAGATGGGGGTATTAACTTTCCTATTCAGTTGAGAGGATGATTTATTACATTCCTTCTACTTTTGGATGGTAATTTAGAAGTATTTACCAAAATGTGTTCCTTGCCCAAGATTTGATCTCACATAGTCCTTCATTCACCTCTGTTTCCATATTAGCAGATAGTTCAAGAAAACAGTTTTTCAGGGTCCCAGTACCCATCTTAAACTCATTATTCACCCCCTCTAAGAGACTATTGAAGTGAATTTCATACTGCTCATTATCTCTTTTATTTATATGACTCAATTTCCAGGACTTAAACTCTTTTTTTTTTTGGGTCTAGTTGTGGGGCCTGAACTCAGGGCCTGGGCGCTGTCCCTTAGCTCTTCAGCTCAAGGCTAGCACTCTACCACTTGAGCCACAGTGCCACTTCCGGCTTTTTTCTTTTTTTGCTTATGTGGTACTGAGGAATCGAACCCAGGGACTGATGCATGTAAGGCAAGCACTGTACCACTGAGCCACCTTCCCAGCCCCGACTTAAACTCTTTCAAAATCTATCCCTTAGGACTGAGGGTATGACTCAAATGATAGGATGCTTATCTAATAGGCCTTGAGTTTAAACTCCAGTACCATCAAACATTAAAAAATAAAGATGAAATAGAAATCCATCTCTTGAAAGTTTTAGAATAAATGAAGTCTTTTATCAGATTTTCTCTTCTGAACTTCACTTAGATTTTTTCACTTACAGTATCATTTCCCTGCAAAGTTCTTCAGTGAAATGTGATTTAAAAGACACTAGGTTTGAGACAGATGCCATTGACTCATGTCTATAATTCTAGCTACTCAGGAGTCTGAGATCTGAGAATTGTAGGTCAAAGCCTATCCAGGCAGGAAAGTCTGTGAGACTCTTATCTACAATAAACTACTTAGAAAAAGCCAGAAGTTGTGATGTGGCTCAAGTGGTGGGGTCCTATCCTTGAGCACAAAGAGGCCTAGGGACAGTGCCCAGGCCCTGAGTTCAAGCCCCAGGAGTGGGAAAACAATAAAACTACCACCACCACCAAGAAAAACAACTAATTTTGCATGGTTTACTAAGCCTACCGAATCTGTTGACTGATTTAGAACTAGTCATTTTCAAATACTGCCTTTTCTTTGTCTCCTTCTGGAAATCATGAATATGCGTTTAAGAAAACAACATCCAAACAAACTTTATTCTGCATACTTCTTTTGTTCTGTTCCTATGGTTTTTTTTTGAGGGGGTATCTTTTTATTGACTGCCCTCAGTTTTACTAATTCTGTTTTATACTATAGTCTGTTAAATAAATCTTAATTTTAGACAATATGTCCTAGAGTGTTCATTGATTATTTTTAAAACACATTACAGTAAATAAAAGGATTCATCTTTTCATCCATCTAGTTACCTTTTTTGTTTTTTTAAAACATGTTAATTATTGTTATTTTAAAGTAATTACCCCATACCTTAAATATGTATATTTTCTTTCTATCTGCTTCTTTTGTTTATTTTTATAATTGATTATTGGTCACTTTTCTTGACCCTGAATAAATCAAGAGTGATTTATTTCATTGCATATTGTATGAAAAGAAGACACTTCTCATGATATATTCCTTCATTCTTTCCCTCCCTTCTTCTTTGCTTTCCTCTTTTACCCCTCCCCTTCCTCACTCCCTCTTCCCCATTCTTTATCCCCTTCCACTGGAATTTGAAATCAGGCCCTTGAACTTGCTTCACTTGCTTACTTGGTTTCTGCTCTGATCACTTGAGCGATGCTTCCAACTCTTTGCTGTTTATTTTGGAAATAGAGTCTCAAGGACTTTTATACCTGGGCTCACTTCAAACTTGGATCCTCTAGATCTCAGCCTACTGAGTAGCTAGGATTACAGAGGTAAAACACTGGCACTTGGATTTTTGTTCTACAGAGTGAAGAGCCAGTGGTCTCTCCAGGCTGAACTGAACTGGGCTGGTGCTACACTGCAGTCATTTAGACTCAGTCCATATCTGGCTTGTCCCATTTCTTGGGCAAAGCTCCTAGTCTCCTCATTCTGAAAGATTGCAAGGGATTCAATTTTACCCTTCACAGATTTTTTTTTCTAATTCTTGAATTGTTATTATAAAGGTGATGTTCAGCCTTCACAGGTTTTTGAGTTTAGCCATTCGGCTTTCTTCCCCAGCTCCAGCTTTAAATTCTATTATAAGTTGAGGGTTAGGTTGTATGTTTGAGACTGTCTCTTCCTGTGTCTGTGACTCACTCTACTTTTTGGGAGTCAGTGCTCAGCTGCCCAGCTTCCTGCCCTTCTTAAACACTTCCAGAATCCAACAGATGTCTTCTAGGAGAAAGTAGCCATATTTTTAGGCCCTCACATTTCTGGTCTCTCAAGTCAGCTCAGTGCACCACCAAAAGCCAGCTCTTCCTCTTTCCACTGGTAGAGTTAGTCTCCCTGGCTACAGTCTAGTCCTCATTCCAGTTCCAGAATTGGAAAATGTGTCCAGGGTTCAGAGATCTGTGGCCTTGCTAGATTTCTGCAGACCATTCTCTCTAGCCTGAAATGCCATAGTTTTCCAATACCAATTTTGAACCTTTAAAGAAACCTTGTTTTTTGTTTTTGTCTTTTTTGTTTTTGTTTTTGTAGTAGGATCTTTGGACCATAGTGATTTTGCAAATTCTTAGAAGTGTAGTCCTGTGGAGATGATTTCACTTCTCAGTTTGTCTCAGATCTAGTGATGAGGTGGGTGTCCTGCTTGTCTTTCTATTACCACTACTTCCAGCTGATGTATCTTTTCCCCTCTTTCTGAAACCTCAGATTTTTTTTGAAGTTTATAACATCAGATTGAGAATGATCATATACCAACCTTTGGTTACACGTGTTTCATTGATAACTCCAGCACCTAGTTTACCACTTTCTTTTTTTCATTGTGTTTTCAATATCCACATAGGAAAGTTCCATTCATGCCCTTGACCTTTCTCCCAGGTATGTTTGCTCTGGCCTTTTATAGTCTTCCATTCTTATGGTCCCATTTGTGTCCATTTTATCCCAATTTGCTGTACCACCTTTAACATCTCATTTCTTCATGTCTGTGTAACCTCCCAGCTCACTCACTTTATAACAGTTACCCTATCACTTCTGGAACTCGACTGGCAAAGAGTACATCCATTTAATTGCTTTTGTAATATCATAACTATGTCCTTAATTTCTCTCTTTATTCACCTTAGATTCCTTGGTTCATCATTGGTTCATCATTAGTGCAACTATGAACTGAATACTAACTATCCGTAACATTTAATGGCTTAAATAAAACCATTTTATTACTACCATTATAGGAATTAACAGGTTGTTTTTGCTCAAGATCTCTCCTGCACTTGGATGTGGTTGGCTAGGGTTCAAGTCATCCCAGAATCTGCTATGGTTTGGAAGTGTCCCCCAAAGTTCATGTGGTGAAACAGCCTCCTAAGTGACAGAGTTGAGAGGTGAAATCTTTGTGATGTGATTGGTTCATGAAGCCTGTGCCCCTGCAAATGGATTCATGCTGTTCTTGCTGGAGTGAATTGGTTGTCTTCAGTGCGGGTTCCTGGTTGTAAGTCAAGTTCAGTCTCAGTCTTTCCTCATGTGTGCTCTTTCACTAAGGGAT